AGTGTTTTCAAGTCCACTATTTCTAATCCTGTGAGAAATTGTTTCCACTATTTCAAGAGCAAATGTGTACACAAAGTAGTGCTAAGTGAAATAATAAAATGGTTAAGAGAGACAAGAGAAAGACCGAAGGATGTGTGGTTTTGCCATCCAGCCAATGGAGTGTAATAATGTGACAACCGCAGATGAACTAGAGAGCACGTTAGAGGAGCATCCCTGTACTTCCCTCATCAGGTGAGTCAGATGGTATGAACCGGGCCACTTTATAGATGAGGAACTCGAAGGCCTTAACAGGTGGGTGACACACCAAAGACTCAATTACAGAGTTACAGAATTTTGGAGTTAGAAATTGCAAACAAGGGGTCAAGGATTCCAGTCTCTTGTCTGGAATTGTTTTTCCTTTATTGCTTTGCTCTTAATAGCTGGAGAATGGAAAGAGAATATGAAAAAAGCCACTGTTTTTGAGGCATGGCAGTGAGCAGGAAGGATGCTGGACCCAGGGTGAGGACACCTGCATGCTGTTTCCAGCCCTGTCATCTGATCATGGTAAACCACAAATCCTTCTGGACTTCATCTGCTTCATCTAGCAATGAAAGGATTGGATGAAATGAAGACACTTATCTTTCTTACTACCATATTAACAGATATTAATAAAAAAATCCAGTGCATTGTAAAAATATGGAGGGCAGAGCGAGTATTGCAGTGCCAAGGCTCTTGGTTTGCTGGGAAAATTCTGGCAGAGCTCTTCTGGATGCCTCCCACACAGGACATACTGCTAAATCATTGCTTTAGGTGTCATTGTGGTGCAGTGGATGAGCTCTGAGTGGCATGGTCAAAGTCAAAGATGCACAAGGGCTTTTTTACCTCAGCTTGACCTCATTAAACCCACTGGAGTATGACTTTGGCCATATAAAGCAAATGTATTGGCTCTGAGCCCATTGGGGTTCTGAGACTCTTGCTCAACGAGGAGTCAAGCAGGAAATGAGATGCATTTTATTTTATGCAGTCTGTATTAGGGATCTGCATAGTCCAGGGCATGACACGCGACATGAGAATGTGCTAAAATGCACATCTGGGACTTGTAAAACTGCTTTCACTTCACTTGGTGATATCATGAAAAGAACACTGAACTGAAAACCACAAGACTTGAACTCCAGTCTTGAATAGGCCAGTCAACCTGGAAAAGAGGGTAGCATCTTGGAGCCTGTTTTCCCTTTTGTAAAATGAGAGTTCTCAATGGATAGCTTCTAAATTTTCTTCTGGTTCTAACAATTTGAGATTCTGTGTAATATTAGAACTTGATGAGACACAGTAAGATTTCTTATGGGTCCATCTACATCCTAGAGACAAATCAAGCTATATATATATATTTATATACCAAGCCTTGCTGGGGCTTCCAGGAGACTTGAGTCTTCTGAATTTGGCTGCCACTTGAGCTAGGCTTTCTGACTGTATACTTGAGGATGGCATGTTTAGAGAAAAACAGAATAGCTGTGGCATCTCTTAATTATAGTTTAATCCTTTACCAAGGATTTACACATGGAAGCTTTGAGGTTTTAATTAATGTTCAAAATTGGCAAAGTGCAGCCAGATCCAGAGGTGGTTGGATATTTTCAGGCCTTATGGAGAGTTAAATTGACTAATATGACCATTTGACCTAGTTTATCCTCCCTATGAGGAATGCAATCTCCATTCCTCCAATGTATTCCATTGATAACTGGGTCTCGTTAAAATGTAGTTATCATACTTCACTCGGTGAGGTCCAAAATGAGGCAAGTTTCTTGCCTTTAGATATTCAAATCCTGCTAATATATTCTTTTTCTGAATTTTTGCTATTATATAACCTTATATTTGTCTCCTATTTTCTATAGTCTTCCTACCCATTATTTCATTTGACCAGCACATCAGGCTTACCTGATAAGCTGGAGATAGAGTGGTGTTTCCATTTTAAAGAGGAAAAACTGAGGTTCAGGAGCCAAAGTCCCATGCCTAGAAGTGACTACAGTCCCAATTATTTTTTCACTTTTTTGTTACTAGTGAGTGGATTGCTTTGTTCTGCTATTCAAAGGGCATCATTGTTCAGGGCAGGTGTATATTTGCAAGCTCCTCACTGATAGCTAATTGTTGGCTCATCAGAGGGAATTACTCAGAAAAACACAATGTGAATGATTAATCTATATACTGCTGAAGGGTATGAGTGATTATAGGATACTTTGGGAAGGAATATTTTGTATATTGTCATAAAATTTATCAATATTTTTGGTAAGTGTAAAATGTGGGAGAAGTGCCTAGGTAGAATAAAATGATCCTGTAGAGCTGGAAGAGAGAGAACAGCCCAGAAAGAGTTTAAAAGAAAAATCAGAAGGAGTAACTAGAAAAATTTAACTGTAGAGCAACTACCTTACCCAGGAGTGTGGTTTATTTTCTGAAAGTTTGAATTTTAAAACCTGTACGCCCGATTCAATGCTGTCTCCTTCAAAGAAGTCATCTTGAGAAGCCATTCATGCTGCTTATTACTTAAATTATTTTCAGAACTTCTCTTATAATTGCCTTCTGAAATGGACACTTTAAAAAACATATCTTAATTTAGATAAAGTCAGAATTATTCTGAACCATGTCTGGTAAAAAGGAGGGTACTTAAGCCTGGTGACTTATTTCTCTCTCTTTCCCTTTCTCCCTTCCCCTTCCTTCCTTTCTCCTCCCTCCTTTCTTCCAAAAAAAAGAGAGAAAACTAAAATTTGTTTGCATGTCTCATTAACCTTCTCTGAAGAGTTCCAGAAATTATTCTAAGCAATGCAATATTATTGTAATAAGAACATACTTTCCAAGTTAATTACATTGGCTGCTTAAATTCTGGTTTGTTAGTTTAAAATATTTTGCTTTGTGGCTTTGTGATTCTGTTCCTTGGAACGAATTATATACGGCTTCGGCTGGAGTGTTGAAACTGTAAACTACAGGGGATCTGAATATTATTTTCTAACTGGTGATGGGCTTGAGCAAGCAGCATGGAGCTGAAAGATGAGGGGCAGTGCAAGGAATGAGGAAGATGCTACGTGGAGCGTCGAGTTGAATTAGGAGTGCTACACGTTTACCAATTGGAGGTGTCCAGAAACAGCAGCCAGGGGATAAGAGGAGGGGACTTGAAGTCATGGCATGTGATAACTACGTAAAGGAACTGGAGATGTTAAACCTGATGTGACATATGACAGTCAGGATGGGAGGGTGAAGAGATCATGGGACTGGGAACGTGGCTTAACATGTTATCTCTGCTCCCAATTAGCTGTGGAGCATTGGGCAAATAATTTGACTTCTCTGTGCTTTGGTTTCCTTCACCTATCAAGTTAAAATTCTAGAACTAAATGAGCTTAACTTTTCTTCAAAGATTAAAATTTATAAGGTAGCCGTGATAAATGTCTTTGAATACTTGAAGAGCTTTCATGTGGAAGAAGGATTAGACTAAGACTGTATAATATCTAAGGAGGAGACCAGGATCTAGGGGTGTCAGGGGAGGAGATTTCAACTTTAAGTAAAAACAAAACCAAAAACCTCTGCCCAACAGTGAGATGGCTACTTTGAGGGTGGAGGGTGCCATGATATTAAGAAGAGCTGAGAGAGCCCATCTTATGTTGTAGAGGGAAAGCATAGACTGTAAGAAGTGGTGGACTAGTTGATCATGAAGGTCTCTTTCAGTTCTGAGAGTCTAAGAATCTCTCTTCTTTTGAGGTCTTCAGTGTTCTTGATTGCATTTGTGAAGACCATAAGACCGGAGTATGACAGGCTGAAAAAGCCCAGGCAGCTCTAGAAGTAAGAAGTGTTCCATGAAGGTTTGGTTCATGATCTCTAGTCATCTTTATAATTGCCTGAAGGACATGCATCCTAGCAACCTTGTTGCTTCACCTAAGGTTACCTGGAAGAATGAAGAGTCTCACAGTTTCATTGAATGAGAAGACTTAAAAGAGGAAACTTTAAGCTGCCTCCTGATGCGTTCGTCTTCCCTTCAGTGTGTTAGGAAACTGTTGTCGGTCACAAATTCAAAGCCCCTTGGAAACCGTGTGGCAATTACAAAATACATCTTTTGCTTCTCAGCAGAGACAGGTCTCACAGCAGCGTCAGGCCCAAGGCTCTAGAGTAGCATGTCATGTGAACACTGAGCTAATCATTATTGACTCCTCGGGCCATTATGGTAAAGGGACATTAATTACCATCCCCACAATTGCACTAATGTGGTTGTAATGAGCATGCCAGTGGGAATTCCCGGTGAGGGAACTCTTCATCAGATCAGAGCAACCAACAGGGGAACGGGGTCAGCTGGAGGTGCACGGTTGAGGAGGAAGACAATTTCATTGGTCTGACTCTAGTTACTTCCAGAGTTTCTGCTAATTTATGTGCCTGTGCCTGGAATACTTTCTGAAACACCTCTCCCTCCTTCCCCACAACCCCCTGGTATTTTCTGTTCATTATATACAGTGCAATAGCCCTGGTTTCCAGATGCGTCTTGTGGAACCAGATCCCTGACTCATCTCACAACTCTTAGAAGTATGGGCTGGGCCAGATCTTAACAAGAGTACAAAAGTATGTACCTATCTCTGGGAGGCAAAGAGACCCTATGCTCAGTATGCCACCTTTCTTACCATAACACTCCCACTTTCTTTTCTTCTACAACCTTCAGCCTTTAATGGACATCCTTCTGTGAATAATAATTGTTAACACTTAAGGAAGGTTTACTATGTACCAGGCCTCATGGTAAGTTATCTCATTTAAGCCTTACAAACCTAATGAAGTAGGTTGCTTTTTATCTTTTCATATTATTCCTATTATGTGAAAACTTGGACAACTCAATGCATAACCAAATGGGAGCTGGAGGGATACCAGGTTTCACGGTGGTATTTCTATATCTATCTGTGTGTCTGTCTCCATTCACCTTTCTCTCTGTCTTCCCAACTATCTTGTTGTTGGCATACCTTCTTCATACTTTTAACCTTTCTTTTATTTTATCTTTACAGGTATCTGATCAATGTCACTTTTGAGGGAAGAAATCTGTCCTTCAGTGAAGATGGCTACCAGATGCACCCGAAACTGGTGATAATCCTTCTGAACAAGGAGAGGAAGTGGGAGAGGGTAGGACATATCTTTTGGCAATTCTTGAGCTAAGTAGATGGGGTAGGGATATAAAATTTTGCAACACGTTCAAGGAAAACCAAACCAAACCTTGGTTTTGGTCTCTGCGCTGGGAAGTAAGAGTGCAGTACTTTGAAGAACATAGAAGAAGTCATTCCTCAAACTTGCATCTTCATTTTCTTGCTCCTTTCGTTAATCAAGAGATTAGTTTCTTAATGCATTACCATTTTTATTGGTTATGGTGCTGTCTGAATCATGACTTTGTCTTAATGGAAGAGAGTACACATGTATAATATAACATAATTTCATGAAGAAATCAAATTAGTGGTACAATTCAGAAGTTGTATCCTACACAGTATACTGGGGAAGTCGATGAAACCTGATTTACAAGCACACAGATTTGAATTTACTGTTATTAGAGGCTTGCCATGCAAGGCTCCTCTCAGGATCTCTTCCCCCTGCCAGCTGATCCCAGTGTCTGAAACTCTACCAATCAGAAGTTAATTTCTGTGGGTGCCAGACTACCTAGGTTCAATTCCTAGCTCCTCTACTCACAAACTTGTCTACGTAGGAGCTTGGACAAATCTCTTAACTACTCTGTGCCTCAAGTTTCCTCATCTATAAAATGGGATTAAAAATAATAGCACCAAGATAACAGGGTTGTTAGGAGGATTAAATATATTAATATACATAAAAGACTTAGAAATGCGCCTGGCATATAGTAAGCCCTTAATAGGTATTTGCTTTTATTGTTATCCCTGATTCCTACTTAAATACGGATGTTCCCGAGAGTAATGTCAGCACTGGTGTTTCTCCTGTATGTTCTTCAGGTCATTTGTTCCTTGAGGTGCTTTGCTGAGAAATGGTTCTGTGGATAAATAAGGTTGGGAGATGCTACCTCCAGTTTCTCATTCTGGGAGGTTCCCAGAACATATTGACATTAGAAGAGGAGTCCTATCTATAGCAAAGAGCCATTCTTAATTTTACTTAATCTGGTATATCCCAAATTTATTTTACTATGAGATTCCTTTGTTCATGAGATTCATATTCTGTAAAACATGCTGGGAAACACTGATTTAAGGCAATTTCTACAGACTCTGTGGGTCAGTTGGCTGAGAACAAACATCAGGATGTCAGCATGGCTCTGACTGGTATGGAAACCAAACTATATATTTCTAGAAAGAATAGCCAGGAAAAGAGATCAGAGATGAATTTCTTGAAATTCACCATCTTGTCAGAGAGCCCTGGACAAGTAGTTATGTGAATGCTCACCCGTGAAACAGCATGTGTGTCTCACGTAGTGGAAATCCGGGGCCTTGTTCTTAAAATTGAAAGACCTCAATCTGTCCTGTAGTTTCTTATATCAGGGCACAGCTATAAGACTGAGATTATTCCTTTTATGTTCTTGATTAAAGTTGTCCTCCTTTTACTGAGTTATCATTTGTTCAGAAGTGCTTTTCCCCTGGGCTCCTGCTCTTCACCCCAATCAGGGCGCTTTTCACTGCTGCTATAGAGACATAATAATTTAAGAAGTGCTCTGGGACCGCATGTAAAACAGGCACTTCTGTGTATCTCCAGAAGAGCAGTTATTAATAACTGAGGCTTTATATGTGGATCAGAGATGTCCAGCTGGGATAGCTTTTATGCAGTAGACTCAGGATTACTGCCTCAAGTATGGGGCATCTCACACCTGTCCTTCCTTAAAGAGACACAACTTACTGTCACTCATGCGGATTTCTCTAGGCTGGAATCTGAGGCCTGTGACCAGCCCCCACTTTCCAAAACTAGACACCCTCCCTGGGATATGGTTCCCTTCCCTTCTTAATTCTACCTTTATGGTAGCCCTTGAATTTATTCCTCCTTATATGATCCAGGAACCATGTGATAATTTTTTAAATGGGCCTCCCTGTCCTTGATGCCTACCTTTATCCATTCAGATCAGTCCTGGACATGGCTGCTAGAATGAGTTTCCTAAGGCACAACTCTGATTACGTTCTTTCTCAGCCCAAAACTTGCTCGGAGCTTCTGTGGTTTATGCATCGGGTCCAGACTTTATTTTTGCATTCAGGGCTCTGGTCTACCTTTCAAGACGTGTCTTCTCTGCCTTCCTGTTTCCTGTCTCACCATCAAGCTGCACTGGGCTGTCTCTGTACATCTTGCTTCCTGTACAGCATGTCATGACGTTTCCTTTTTCTGGAATGGGTTGTCCAATTACATAAATCATAACCATCCTTTGAAACCCAATTAAAATGTTATTGTCTTCTTCTCTGATCTTTGACCGAGATATAATCTCTCACATTCCCTTGTCCCCACCTCTGTTGTAGCACTATCACATCTGTCGGTGTTAGAGTTGTGTGTATGTGTGCTTCCGGACAGCAGAGACTGTGTCTTTATATCGCTGTGTCCTCCCAGCAGCCTGGATGAGTGTATTGCATAGAGCAGTTAAATAAGTATGTGTCAAGTGAATGAGAACCATTACATAATACAAGAGTCTAAAATCTATCATTAAGAATCCAAGTTTATGCTATTGCCCTTGATGTAATACCTCTTTTGGGGGGCAGAGGGGAGATAAAATCTTTATGTAGATTGAGTTTTCATAGATCATACTTTAAATGTACTAGGGGAGCTTGTTATTTAAAGAAATTCTGTGGTTAATCTTTTTTATAAGGCCTTTTGGGAGGTGGTGGGCTCACAGAATAGAACATTTTCCTACTGACTTGGTTAAATCAGGAAACATTGCTGAAGAGAGGGGTCTTTACTGTTCATTGAGTTCACAGAGCCAGGAGGCTCCCCAATGTGGAGCCCCTTGTTAGGGCTCACTTATGGGCAGGGAGGTGTGGCAGGAACTGGGCGCAGACCTAGAACGTGTCTGGGATGTGCTGAAATTGTACCGTGGGAAGTTATACACTTTTTTTTTCCCCCGTTACCCTGGCCCCCAGGACCCTCTGTGTTCTCAGGATTTCTAATACCACTCTAGAAGGTTCCATGTAGTCCAGGGAAGATTTAGTGTCCGTGGATTCCACAGAGGTAGGCACCAGGGCGAAGAGTCTACAGTGAGGAGATGGATACTGGGAAGATAAATGGGGAAGGAATCTGGATTTGGGGGGGAAATGAGGGCTCAAAGACAGGACCCACAGCTTCTGGTCATGCCCCTAACTAACTACGTGACCTGTTCTTTTCACTTCTCTGGAACTTTCTCTTCTTGTGTCTAAAATCCTGGCATGAGATTAAGAAGACTTGTAGGATCCTTTCTGGCTCTAGCTTCTGGGATTGCAAATTTCATGTTGCAAATAAGTCAGGGCTTGGAATGGAATTGGGGTGCGAGCTGAGGCATGCAAAAGGAACCTGAGTTTGTTTCTAAGGACAGTAGCTCCCAGCGAATATTTGTCATTCTTATCATTTAGATAAATATCATCTCCTCAGAAGGCCTTCCTTGGGGACTCAAGCTAAAGTAGCCACCCAGCCACTCTATCAGAACAGCTGATTTTAATTTTCTTCAGTGTATTTTCTACCTGATGTTTTGCCTATTTGCCTGATTGTTTACTTCCTGTCTCCTCACACCAGGACAGATGCTTCCTGGGAGCAAGGACCTTGTTCACCTCTGTCATCCTAACACTTAAGAAGAGTGCCTGGCTCAGAGTGACCACTCAAAAGATAACTGTTAAATAAATGAGTCCATATGCTTAGGAGTGTTAGTTCACTTCTGCCCAAAACTCTCCCAGGTAGACAGACTGGTTTACTGAAGAGTGCGGGAGAGCAAGGGCATACTCCACCATGGGTGTGAGCAGGCCACAAGCAGTGATGCTCCGTGGGGCGGGGCGGAGGCCATCTTCAGTGAGGCCCAACTTCCCAGTGGCAGCGAGCCTCAACAGTTTCCAACAAGGAGCCTCGGGTTGAGGAAGACTCACTCAGATGCTGGTGTAAACCACTGTGAGGGGCTTTCACTATATCCTTTCAAAGTTTTAAAAAGTCGCCTCACAGCCATCGTTTTATAAATCTGGTTTCTTTTGAACGACTTGAAGTCCAGGCAGCATAATCTGGGACTGAGCATGGTTTTGGAAATCAGAAAGAGCTGAAATGAAACTAATGATGTACTACATGTTGGCTAATTGAATTTAAATAATAAGAAGAAGATAAAAGAGCTGAGATGAATGCCCCATAGTGCCATTTATCGGCTGCGTAAACCAGGCGACAATACTACCCGACTCTATTTCCCTTTTGTAAAAATAGGGTTTTACATAAGGCTGTTATAAAGATTAAAGGAGATTTTATAGTAAAACACCAGTTAATAGTAACTGAAACATAGGCAGTGTTCAACAAATGTCAGTTGGTGCCCTCCTCCTTTTCTTAGGTAACATTTGCACACGGTACTAAGTCAAATGGTACAAGAGGGTATCCGGCGAAAAGAACATACTCTTCTCTGTGATCCTCAGTTCCCCTAGGCCCGTCCCCTGAGAAATCATTGTTTCCAGGGTCCAATGTATTTTCTCTGAAAACACTTCGAGTATATAAAAATTTTACATATTTGCTCAACCTCCTTTTTAAAAAAAAAATAAACAGCACCTGCTCTTGTGAACTTTTAATGGGATCCTATGTAAGTAGCTACTAAGGAGGCATGGGGTGGGGGCTAGAATAGCAGAGACCTTTGGATCAGAATTACATTCACAGAAAGCTGAGTAATCTCTTTGGTATATAGGAATGCGGAAAAGAACGTTTCACACGGAATGCACTCATACGTGTGTGCGGGGATAGCATGGCAAGTTGGAAAAGGGCAGGGGATGGTGGAAAAATGTGTGCAGAGTGGGTTCATTTGTAAGTCTTCTCTCTAAGTGGGGGACAGCTGCATAAACTTGCATTAAAAATAGGCTGGCACAGAGAAGCAGTTCCAACGAGCATTCAGGCTTCGGTCTTTATCAGAGCCTCTCATGATTTGCTTCATTGCTGCTGCTCTCTGCTTCCATTTAATCGTTCCTAAAATGGGGATAATAAAAATGAAATGC